AAAGTAAAATGGCAGACAGGAATACAAGGTAAAAATTAACAATGGAGATAGAAGAACCAGAAACAAAAGTTTAAATGGCAGTACTAAGTCCTCAAAAGCAATAATTACCCTAAATGTAAATTAGTTGAATTAATTATTTGAACTCACCAATCAAAAGACCCAGAGTGGCTGTATTAATTTAAAAACAGGACTCAACTATATGTTGCCTCCAGGAGACTAACCTCAGTTCTAAAGACAAGCATAGTCTCAAAGTTAAGCAAATGATAGCAAAAAGAAAAAAGAGAGTGCAGGCATGTTATGTCAGAGAATTAGACTTTAAGCCAAAACATGTAACAAGAAACAAAATTGATTATATAATGATAAAGGGTACTATTCATAAAGAAGACACAACAATTATGAATATATATGCACCATGTTAAGGAACACCAAAGTATATAAAGCAATTATTAACAGACCTAAAGGGATACACTGAAAGCAACATATAAATTGTCAGGGACTTTAACACCCCACTTATATCAGTGGACAGATCATTTAGTCAGAAAGCCAAGAAGGAAACAGTGGCCTTAAAGGAATTAGACCAGGTAGATTTGATAGATTCATATAGACTGTTTCTTCCAAATGCATCAGAATACACATTCTTCTCAAGTGCACATGAAACATTCTCAACAACAGATCATATACTTGGACACAGAACAAGCGTCACTAAATTTCAGAAGACTGAAATCACATGAAACTTCTTTTCTGATCAGATGGGTGTACAGAATTAGAAATCAACTACAAGGATTAAGCTGGAAAAATCACAAATATGTGTAGACTAAAAAATATGCTACCAAACAAATATTGGGTCAACAAATAAATCAAAGGAGAAATTTTAAAAATTCCTGAATACAAATGAAAATGGAAATATGGCATACTAAAATCTATGGGATGTAGCAAAAGCAGTAGTAATAGGGAATTTGATAGCAATACAGGCCTAACTCAAGATACAAGAAAATCTCAAAGAAACCCCCAACCTAATCTTACAGCTAAAGAACTAGAAAATGAACAAAAAACAAAGCCCAAAGTCAGCAGAAAGAAGGAAATAAAAAGGGTCAGAGCAAAAATAAAAGAAATAGAGTTTAAATAGACAATGTCAATGAAACCAAGAGCTGGTTCTTTGAAAAGATAAACAAAATTGACACAAGTTTAGCTTAACTCACATAGTAAAAAGGGAGAAGGCTCAGCTAAATAAAATTAGACAGAAGAGAGGAGAAATAACAATGGATAACACAGAAATACAAAGATTACAAGAGAATACCATGAAGAGCTATACAGCAATAAATTAGACAGACTAACAAATGGATAAAGTTTTAGAATCATACAAATTTCCGTGATTGAATCATGAAGAAGTAGAAAATCTTAATAGATTAATCACTAGTAGAACAATTGAAATAGTAATTGAAAACCTCCCCCCAAAAACAAAATCAAGAACCAGATGGCTTCACAGGTGAATTCTATCAAACATTTAAAGAAAATTTAATGCCCAGCTATTTCAAACTTTCCCAAAAAACTGAAGAGGAGAGAATGCCTCCTAACTCATTTTATGAGCTCTATATTACCTGATACCAAAACCAGACAAGGGCAACTCAAAAAAAGTACAAAAACTATAGATATCTAATGAATGACACAAAAATTGTCAACAAAATATTAGTAAAGTATATACAACAATACATTAAAAGGATACAATGTGATCAAGTGGGATTTATAACAGGGATGCAAAACTGGTTCAACATTCACAAATCAATCAATGTGATACATCACATTAGAAAATAAAGGATAAAAATCATATGATCATCTCAACAGATGCAGAAAAAGCATTTGACAAGATTCAGTACCTACTTATGATAAAAAAAATCTCAACAAAATGGATTTAGAATGAATGTTCCTAAAACAACAAAGGCCATATATGACAAACGTACAGCTAACATAATACTCAACAATGAAAAACTGAAAAGTATACCTCTAAGATCAGAAACAAGACAAGGATGTTCACCCCTGCCACTCTTATACAACAGGAGAAATCCTAGTCAGAGCAATTACAAAAGAAAAAGAAATAAAAGGCATCCAAATTGGAAAAGAAGAGATAAAATGGTCACTATTTGTGGATAACATGACTTTATACATAGAAAACTATAAAGATATCACCAAAAAACTATTAGAAATAGTAAATGAATACAGGAAAGTTGTAAGATACAAAATCCATATGCAAAATCTGTTGAGTTTCTATACATAACAATGAACTAATTGAAAGATTAATTAAGAAAATAAAATAATCTCATTTACAATCACACCAAAAAGAATACCTGGGAATAAATTTAACCAAGGAGGTGAATGTCCAGTACACTAAAATCTATAAGACATTCTTGAAAGAAATTGAAGCAGACACAAAGAAATGGAAAGATATTCCATGGTTCTGGATTGGAAGAACTAAAATTGTTAAAATGTCCATATTACCTAAAGCAATCCACAGATTCAGTGCAATCCCTATCAAAATCCCAATGACATTTTCCACAGAAATAGAACAAAACATCCTAAAATATATATGGATCTTCAAAGACCCTGAATAGCAGGAAAAAAATATCCTGAGGAAAAAGAACAAATTGGAGGTATTACCTCCTTGATTTCAAAGTATATCACAAAGCTATAGTATCAAAACAGCATAGTATTGGCAGAAAAACAGACACAACGATCAAAGAATCAGAATTAGGAGCCCATAAATAAATCTGTAAGTATACAGACACTTAATTTCTAACAAAGGAGCAATGAACATACAATGGAGAAAGGTAGTCTCTTCAATATATGTGTTAGGAAAACTAGAAAATCCACATTAATAAAAAAGAAACTAGACCATTATCTCATACCATACACAAAAATCAACTCAAAATGGATGAAATTCTTGAATATAAGACCTGAAACCATAAAACTAGAAGAGGACATTGTACATTTTTTGCATCGGTTTTAGCAATATCTTTCTGGATATTTCTCCTCAGGCAAGGAAAACAAAAGCAAAAAATTAGCAAATATAAGCCTGTCAAACTAAAACACTTCTATACAGTAAAGTAAATCATCAGCAAAATTAGAAGACAACCTACCAAATGGGAGATGTTATTTGCAAATCATATATCTGATAAGGGGTTAATATCCAAATTATATAAAGAACTCATACAACTCAAGAAGAACAAAATAAACCACCTAATTTAAAAAAATGAGCAGAGGTTCTGAATAAAATTTTTTTCCAAAGAAGACATACAGATGGCCAATAGGTATAGGTACATAAAAGGATGTTCAACATCACTAATTATTAGGGAAACACAAATCAAAACAACATATCACCTCACACTCATTAGAATTGCTATTGTCAAAAAGGCAAGGAATAACAAGTATTGGAAAGAATGTATAGAAAAGGGAATTCTTATGCACTGCTGGTTAGAATGTAAATTGATGCAGCCACTATGGAAAACTTTATGATTCTTCAAAAAATTAAGAACAGAAATACCATACTATCCAGCTATTTCACTTCTGGTTATTCATCTAAGAATGCAAAAATACTAATATGGAAAGACATATGCACCCCTATGTTTATTGTAGCATTATTTACCATAGCTAGAGAGAGAGAGAGAGAGGAGGGAGAGAGAGGAAGGGAAATATACAGAATGGAATACTACTCAGCTAAATAAAAAGATGAAATCTTACCATTAGCGATAACATAGATGAACCTTAAGGGTTTTATGCTAAGTTAAATAAGTCAGATGGAGAAGACAAATACTGTTATGATTTCATGCATATGTGGAATAAAAAGAAAAATGAACAGAAAACAAAGCAAACAGATAGATACAGAAAACAGAGTAATGTGGACAGGGAGCATGTATACAGGCCCCTTGCATCAGACTCCAATACAGCTCAGCACAGCACTGGTTTGATCACTAAGTTGTTAATAAAATGGGTCAGGGAAATAAGGCAGGGCTGCTTCCTGAAAGAAGCAGGGGACAAGGAGGGCTGAGAAATCAGGCTCTGCCTATGGAGAGAGAGCTAAGCAGATGCCCCACCCTTCCAAAATAAAGTCAGGCTCAAGAAGAAACACTTGAGGCAAATCTGGCATCATGTGGTACTTAATTGAATGCATATATTCCCTTCAATTCACAACCTCCCACCCCCACTGCCACCCCGGTTAGATTCTATCCCATAGATTTTAAGGAATAAAGTGACTTAACTGACTGCTTCCTGGAGCCTGCGTGGGAGAAAGGATGTCCAGGGAACCTCACCTGTGTGAAGATGACACTGAGGGAGGTGAGGGAAGCTGCACCTTGAACCCCCCAATTCACCATTTCTTACTTTTAATTTTTAACTATAACTTTCAAATCCATTTCTATATACATTTTTAAATTGTCTTTAAACGCATTAAAGGAATATATCATCCAAGCTTTTTTTAATTTTTTTTTTTTGGCAGGAGGAGGTAATTAGATTTTATTTATTTATTTATTTATTTTTAGAGGAGGTACCAGGGATTGAACCCAGGACCTTGTGCTTGCTAAGCATACACTCTACCGCTTGAGCTATACCCTCCCCTACTCATCCAAGCTTTTAAAACCAATTATTTTTTGTTTTTTTCTGAAACTCAAATTTGAAAGTACCTTAGAATGGATATAAACAAAAACACAATATAACAAAACTTGTGAGATACAGAGAATGTACTGCTAAGAGGGAAATTTATAGCTGTAAATGCATACATTAAAAAAGAAGAAACATTTCAAATAAATAACTTGACTTTACACCTTATAAAACTAAAAAAGAAGAGCAAATTAAATTCAAAGTTGGCAGAAAGGAAGAAATAATGATAAGAACAGAGATAAATGAAATAAAGATTATTAAAAATGAGAGAAAATCAACCAAAGTAAAGTTGTTTTTTTGTAAAAATCACATTCAACAAACCTTTAAGCTAAACTGATTAAAAACTTGACAGAGTGCTCACTTCAGCAGCACATATACTAAAATTGAAATGATATAGGATTAGCATGGCCCCTGTGAGAGGATAACATGCAAATTTGTGAATCATTCCATATTTTTGCTATGAAAGTAGAGTTTTAATGTTCTCACCATAACAACAGCAGCAACAAAATGGTAACTGTGTGAGGCAAAGGATGTGTTAACTTACTGTGGTAAACATTTCACAATATATACATGTATCACATCATCACATTGTATGTTTTAAACTTACACCGTGTTATATGTCAATTATATCTCAATAAAGCTGGAAAAAATGCCCCCCAACACCCTAAAAGTCATATAAATGTATAATTTAATGTACATTATCCACTTTATGTACAGGTTGCTTTTGATACTAAAGGAATGTATTTTTGCCTCAAAAATAAAAAAAAGAGGAAAGTCTCGAATTACTACAATCATAAGTGAAATTGTGATGTTACTACTGAACTTACAGAAACAAAAAAGAGCATGAGAGAAAATCATGAACAACTACATGCCAACAAATTAGATAGATGACATAGACAAATTTCTAGAAATATACAAATTTCCAAAAATGACTCAGGAAGAAATAAAAAATTTGAGCAGACTTTTTACAAGTAAAGACACTGATTCACTAATCAAAAATTTCCCAACAACAATAAAAAAACCAGGAACACATAGCTTCACTGCACTAAACACTTAAAGAAGAATTAACAACAATCCTTCTCAAACTCTTCCAAAAAAAATAGAAGAAAAGATTTCCTAACTCATTCTGTGTGGTCACCATCACTCTGATACCAAAGCCAGACCAAGACATCACAAGAAAACAAAACTACAGATCAATATGTTTCATGAATCAGATGCAAAAATCCTCAACATTATATTAGCCAACTGAATGCAGCAGCATATTAAGAAAATTATATACAATGACCAAGTGACATTTACCCTAGGAAAGCACCAGAGGTTCAACACCTGAAAATCAATCAATGTTATATACTACATTAATTAAATTAAGGAAAAAATAAAACATAATCATCTGCATTTCAACACGGTGTAGAAAAAAAATACTCTGACATAATCTAACACTCTTTCATCATAAAAGCACTCAACAAACTAGAAACAGAAGGGAATGTCTTAAACATGATAAAGGTCATTTGTAAAACAAAATAAAACAATAACAAATTCAATGGAGAAAGCCTGAAAGGTTTTCCCCTAAGATCAGGAACAGTACAAGGATGCTGGCTTTCACTACTTCAATTCAACATTAGACGTCCTAAACAAAAATAAATAAATAAATAAATGCATCCAAACTGGAAAAGAATAAGTAAAATTATCTCTATTCAGAAATGACATGATCTTACATATACAAAATCATAAGGAATATACAAAATAAGCTATTAGAGCTGATACAACTTAATAAACAAATTCAGCTCTGTCTTGCACTCATTAAGCTGTGCTCAGTGAGCACAGCACCCTGTACTTTAAAATTTGAGAGGGGGAGTAGAACAAAAAAATACCAGCACATTCTATTTCTCTGTTTTTCCTTCTCTTTGTTGAGGAAAAGGATGGGAATGAAGAGGAAGATACAGGGAAGAATAAAAGAAACGAAAAAAACCTACATCCTGACTGGTTGTATTACTACAAACCAACTATTATTTCTTGTTTATTTCCCTAAGCAAGTAACAGCAAAGCCCTGAAAACCAAAGGGACTGTGGTCTTGTTTTCAGAGGCAGCAAGGAATGGGTGGTCTGGGGAGAGAGAATTATACTTCATAGCCAGGCTTATGGAGATGATGTTAGCTATACAAGGAGAGGCAAAGCAGCTGAGGTCCTGTGACTTGCTGTAAAAAATTACAGGACAGCTTAGAAACTTACTGAATGTTGTAGGGCACAGTACTAGGATTGAACATCTCATACACAGAGAAGCCTTTATAGAGAGGGTTCCTGAAGTCTGGTTTCCTCTGAACCAAGAAAGGCCACACCGAAAGGGTTTTCTCAGAGACTCTGTCAGAAAAGAAAAACAAGCCAAAAATTAAAAGCAGCAAGCAAGTATTCTCAATAGTCCTGTCAAACTTGATAATCAGCCAAATTTTATTAACAAGTAACCTAATTCAAAAGAGGGATAGAATATGGTAGAAGGATAATGGAAGTAAGTGGCTGATGAGCATTCATAGCATAACAAATTATCTGGGCTTCAACTTATCCATATTTTAAATGAATAAGTTAGAAAGAGTTCTAAATTGACAGCAGGAGATGCTAAACCCAGTCTCTGCCATAGAGTAGCTATGTAATCTTAGAAATGCCCATGGCTCTTTCTGGGCCTGTCTATTCTATGAACTAATGATCTTTCCAGTTTTAAAAAGTCTGGAATTGCTTTTAAAAATCTGGTAAGTTAACAGACAGCCTAGAGGGTGAATGTCTGGCTTTTCTACATTTTATTTTATTTCAAGCCAGCTTCTCCTCCTCTCAGAGGAAAACATTGTATAAGATAGTGAAAGACAATTGGCAATTTATATTAGCAAATATTTGTGAGTAATCCTAGGTGAGCAACACAGACTGTGGTATTTATATTGCAAGACTGATTTTTTTCTTATACTTTAGTTGAGACCTTGGGAAGCCTGATCACCTGGCAAGAAAGCCTCTTAGTTAATACTCCAAAAAGCTTGGGATCAATTGTCCTCAATGAGAGTGCTGTATAACCATGTGTGGGAAAGTCATTGGCACATTCAGTGTCAAAGAAAATTCAAAGAGAAACAGTATGGGTTGTAGGACCTAAAATTATAGCCTTGTAAATTTTATAGCCCTCAGACCATTTCGATGAGACCAAAGTCCTTGCATATCCACCTTTCTCATTTGTTTGTCAAAAAAAAACTTTCACAGGTTAGATAGCTAATATTTGTTGAGTATTCACTATGTGTTAAACACTTGTCCAGACTACCAAAAATAACTCATTAAATTTTCATAATAAAACCCTGTGAGATATTTTATCCCCAAAATAATACTGAGAAAATGAGAGAAAAACTAATTTGCAGAAATTCACATAGCTAATCAGTGACAGAGCCAAAGTCTGAACCCAGGTCTCTGATTCTAGATTGCATGCTTTTCCTTTCATAAATGAATGATATTTCTGCTTGTTTTAAATAATCACTATTTTAATGTATATTAAAAATTTCAACTTTCATACATGGAGATTCAGATTTGTGTGGGGAATGGGTCTAGGACATATTAGCCTCATTTTAAGAAGGCACAAAAAAGACTATGGAAAAGATCTTAGATTTTAATGCTTAGAAAAGCAGGTCATAGACAGACTGAATGTATCTCAAAGCATTTGGGAAGAGGGTAAGAAAGGTCTGGTTCCAAAATACAAGAGAAGTGTGCATATAAGCTATCTAGTAAGTACAAATGTTAAAGTAGAAAGATTCATCATTGTTCTCTGTGCTGACAAGAAAACAGAATCAGAAATGTGATGTTATCCAGGATACATCAAAGAGGGGTCTGAGGCCTTGAGCTAACTGCTACTTAACCAACAGTTGTGAAACAAGAGTGGGTTGTGAGATACTTACCTATTATTTTTCTCTGAATCCAAAATAAGGAGAATACTGTTCACAGCAACTTTATCTTGTCAACCTCAAAAAATATTTGTGTTTTATTTATTGTGAGAATTTTGAAGTTTAAGTTTAGTGCAAATTCAACTGCTTACAGGAGCTGGGAGGATAACATTAGAAGTGCACTGAGGATAAACTATAGAGAGTGGTGAGAACTGTGGCAAACAAGAGTGTTTGCCTCATTTTAATGGAGCAACTGTTTTCAGCTGTAGCTGATTACTGCCATAAGAAAATGCAGTTCCAATGTGGCCAGAGCTCCTGATCTTGCAGAGTATCTTGGCACAATGGCTTTTCTATTTAGGAAAATATTCATGAAATAATTAAATTTTTAAGTGAAATGTCATAATATTTAAATGCTGACAATGAATTCCATTTTTAAAAATGCTCCACAGACTAAACAACACATGCCTGTTGAGGAAGAACTGGCCTATGAACTGCTACTTTGTGATCTTTGACATAAGTGATAAACGACTGTAGATAATGACTACTCACATCTACACAGTAACTGGTTCTTTACAGAGTCTTGCACATCTACTGTTTTATTGATTCATCATGATTGTCCTGAAAAGTAGGTATTATCCCTATTTTACAGATAAAGAATCTGAGGTTTTGAGGAATCTCCATGCAAACATTGCTTCAAAACTTAATGCTTCAAAAGTTATTTTTTACCGTTGGCATCTCCTCCCTCTCCTGAACTGCTGTCCCAAATTCAAGGTGGTTGGTAAATTCCTTTTACATGAATCCCCTCTCCCTATTCAACGTTTTTGCACAAACTGAATTCACCTCTAATCTTCCTGATCCTTATGGCAGTTTCCAAGGAAGTTCCCAAACTGGCAGAAGAAAACATGGTCATGAATCTCCAGCAGGACATTTTCATTAAACTCAAAGTCACAAGGAAATTGTTCCATTAATTGCCAGATACACTCTAGGAACTGTGTGAAGATAGGGGATACTTCTTTAGAGTCCCCATCCAGGTGGCCACACTTAAGAGATGCAAATGAAGGTAAAGAAAGATAATGATTAACATTAGGGATTACACTGTTTGGAATAGGCTATAGCAAGGTCACCTTTTGTCTCTGCTTGCATTGGCAAAGAAACACCTAACACTAAAATGCCACCAGAATCTCAAAATTCATTAATCCCAGTGGACCTCTCAGCCACCAGCATTCTTCACTATTATCCAGATAATAAGCCCTCTGGTCATCTATCCTATTTCCTTTTACACCCTCTTTACAGTAGAACTTCCAGCAATAATGGAAATGTTCCATATCTGTGCTGTCCAATATGGTAGTCATTAACTACTAAGCATATAAAATGTATCTAGTGTGACTAATGAACTAAATTTTTCATTGTATTTAATTTTAATCAATTTAATATATAAACAAGCACATTTAGCTTTATGTGAGCAAGGACTATATCTACGTTGTTTATGGGACAATGCCTGGCATGAAATGTATATTTAATAAATATTTATTTATTAAGTGAATGAACAAACTGC